TCCTGTATCACCGTATCACACATGGGATACTTAACAAAGGAAGGAAATACACACTTTACAATACTGAGACTGGAAAGTATAAGAGCATCACACAAAAAAATTAATGAGATCATTTTCTGCATGATATATTGTTGAATGTCAGGTAACTATGTGTGTAACAAAAAGCACAAGTGAGTACTGTTTTATAAGATGCCCACCCCAGTCATAAGTCCATCATTTTCCTTTAATAAGATCATTCCTTTCAGGAGAGGAATGAATTCATCTGCCCATCAACTATTTGGGGGTGTCATAGCTCAACAATGTTTTGTTAGATGTTCTGTTCCTAAAATGTAAACTATAGAGGGCATACTGAATTTCACATTGGGCTACTGATTTAAAATCTCTGATATGAGCCAGGAAGCAACCCACAGTGCATGGATGTCTACATTTGCCCTTGAGGGTCCATGCCCTAGACTCAGAAACCACAGTTCCAGTCAGTCTCCATTTATTGCTTTATTGTTGGTTACCTGATCAGGATCCAATTTTCACTATGCAACATTTTATTCATGTAAATGAAATGATTCTTAGTATATCACATGCCAAAAATAACATTGGTAACAGTGATAAACTGGTTGAAAGACCGAGGGTGTGCTGGCAGTGTTTTACTCATCATAGAGTCTTGTGTAGTAAACGGTTCTGCAGAGATTGAAGGACTCTGAGCATCCTTTCATGATAAGTGAATAGAATGTAATACCACTTTGTTTATTGTGGCATCTTTATTAGACTTTGGTAAACAAAAAATATTTTGTAGAAGAATATTTTAGGAAGTGTATTATTATATGGAGCATAATGGGAGAGAAGAACTGGAGTCAATTCTAGCACACATAACATGTCTCTCAGTACTCTCCACTGAATCATTTATCTGAAATTCAACCCTTTTCTGCCTCTCTTCGGTCCATCTCAGGCTCATTAGCCATGGCTCTTTAATCTTTCCTTTGTGCTCTGGTTTTTCTCCCTACCTCAATTAATTTCCCATAGGAAATCATTCAACATTTGATATTATGTTGTCCACAATCTACTCACACATTTATCCTTACCCCTATTATGAAGTGCATAGGTCTATGGTCATTGGCATTTGGATTGAAATGTTAAAATACAAAAAAAGGTTCTGCCTCATCTCTATCACCCCTGAAAACATGCTGAGATTCTAGCACAGTAAGTATTGTAGAATAAATAGTGGAGTGCTGTATTAAATGTGATAGCAGTTGAAAATACAGGGAAAAATTGTTTTGCTTGACAGAGTGAAGACACAGTACATGCTACATGATCTGTAAAACCTCTCTTGATGTGATCACATCCTGAATATTTCACAGTATGAAAAGTAGCACATAGCAAACATCACTATATAAATGTACAAAGCTGTCTCCACATTAATGCTGATGCCCACAACTAAAGACTCTGGAACATACACAAGGAAAAGACCACAACTCAGAGAAGCTGCCAGTCAGATGTGCTTTCAAGTGGGGGGCAAGAATTTCACTTTTTATGAAAGCCCATGTGTCAGATCACTTCCTAAACTGCCTTAGTTTTTATTGGTGTGGGTTAGGTGAGGTTGACCAAATGACTACTCTGATGTATGAGATGAGATTAAGTTCTATTTGGGATTTGAAGTATGCAAAGAAGCAAACACCTGAGTTGGTGGAAAAGGATAACATGTACTGAGACATTTTATTAGTTACTTTACTGTTGCTGGAAAACAATACCTGAAACCCACAAGTTAAAGAAGGAAAGATTTACTTTGTTTCACAGTTTCTAGAAGCTTTTGTCATGGCTCCAAGGGAGGGTGGAATAGAGGAGAGTCATCACAAAGGACAAAGTGATCATGGTATGGAAAGTCAGATACAAGGGCAGATAAAGAGAGGAGGAGAAGTATATACCTTTCAGGGCCACACCAACAATGACCCCCTCTTCTTACAGGCTTCACCTCCAAACATCATTTTCAGCTATAAGCGCATCAAAGGACCGGTCCACTGATAAGTATCACAGAACTGTGATCACATTGCCTCCCAAATGCCCTACCTATGAGCACCCCAGGCACTGGGGAACATCAAGATATAAACTATAACAGACATTGAAAATTTTTTTTCTTTGGCCAAATAATATCTGTCCTTTTTCCAGAAAAGAAATCTCATGGAAAATACTAGCTTAATTTTGAAGATCGTGTACAGATTTTCCATCAGTATCAATCATTAAATATTGTATAGCATGAACAAAGCAGAATGAGGTGTGTTAGCAGCCTCCATGCTGCTACTGCTCACCCACCTCCCCTCCACAGCTGAACCTGAGCTCTTGCTGCTGCTGCCATCTGGCCTCTGTGTACTTGAATTATCAAGAAAGGATGCAGACACAGCCAGTAATTTTTTTAATTGATCAGCAACTTGGAGACTCTCAGGCCTCCTACATATTTTTTCTTGTGTGAGAAAATATACATGTAGTATATTCAGTTTCCCCAGAATCCATTATCTGGGAAGGGTACACTCATCTGAAACATAGGGAGAGTAAAGCAAATGGCCCTCTTTTTCCACCTACAATCTGCCTTCAACATGAATTTGCTGAAACATTTTGCTGGACATCTACAGACACAAGGAGAATTATTTTTCTGTAAGACTTCATGTTCCCTCATGGTCTACATTCAGAAAATGTTTAATGATGTCCTCTGTCTGCGCTCAGCATACTCACATACCTTTGCTCCCAAATATTTTCTCTGCCATCAATATTGTTTTAACATTGCCTGGAAAATTCCTTTCTGTCATTGAAACTAGTACAAGTAAAGTGCCACCCCACTCACTAGACTAGTGAGAGTCACACACCCTTATTTTGTAATCTCACATTACATGCTAATTTCACATCTTGTCCTTTTAAAATTTTAAATTCGTCTTGTCCTTTTAAAAAATCTTTCATATTTCCACCACTATGAATTTCATAGTAACTTGATTTAGAAATACTATACATGCTGAGAAGCAGTAATGACTATAAATAAAGCACTCAGCTTCTCGTGTAGTTCAAGTTGAAAAATTCTTTCATGTTGAACATGACAGATTGTGATAAAATGTGACAAGGTTAGCCAAGTGTCCACAGATGTTTGGCAATGTTGAAATGCCATGCCAAGGAGTAAGAGAAGACATCTGGAAGTTATTATGTATAAATGAGATCTGAAACATGTGTACTTACGATTTGGGTATAAGAGTGACACGGACAATCAATTTACAGATAGAAGAGACAGCATGTGTATTTTGGGGTATACACAAATGGAAGGGTCATGATGTTATATTTTGTCAAGATATTGAAGATCATTAGAGAGTTTTCAAGATATTGAAGATTATTAGAGAGTTTTCCCAGAAATCATTCTCGTATACAACTTCACATCATTGTGGATGTTCTTCATGGGTTCTTCTGAGGTACCACATGGAAGCATAACTGGTAGCTAATATGGAGGATACAAAAGGACTTTAGGATTGTAAGCAAAATACTGTGCAAGATTTCAGGTGTCTATTGCCAGGGTTTGGTATTAAGCATGCTTTCATGGTCAGATGTCTGTATGTATTGGTAACATCTGCTTACATAGACAGTAGAGGGGAAAAGTCATTGCGATATGCAAAGAACTGTGGCAGTCAAGTTGAAATATGTGTACATGAAAGAAGTCTATTTAGAGTATTCATACTGAAAAACTCAATAGTACAGTTTTCTGAAGAAAGAATTGATGTTTTTGAAATGCTATTGATAACAAATATCTAACAGGAATTGTATTAACTTGTAGTTGTTGTTGTTGTTGTTGTCCCAGGTAAAAATTCCTGACATATAACATAAAAGATTATTTTGTCTCATAATTTCTGAGACTGCAGACTTGATTTGACCTCTTCTAATGCGGAAATAGCTTGTTAAATAGAAATAAAAGACACAGATACCAAAGTTAAGACACCCAGGATGCAGAGAGAAGGAAAACAGGTTAAGAGGAAGGGGTGAGGGTCCACATATGGTTCCTCTGGTCACATTGTTATGCCTCAGTGAGACACACCAAGAAGTATGCTTTACCAATATCCCATATATGTCTCAACCAAACGCATTATTAAGACACATGTATCACCTGATTGCATGTAGTATTTTTCTAGGAATATTAACATTGAAAGTTAAAGAATTTCAATCCATGATGAGTCATGACAGGACATGGGGAGCTTACAATCCTAAAGTCCTTTTGGATCCCAGTCTCATCACCAGGAAGTGAATCGCTTTTGTGGCTGTTTCAGCTATCTCTCTGGACTTCCTGCTAGGAAAATATGTTTTCTTCAGAATTCAAGTGTTTTTTATGACCATGGATAAACTGTGAAGGTTGTCTGAGGGAGGTAGAATGCTTGCTTTTCTTTCATCTTTACTCTTTTCAGATTATTGCTATCATGCAAGTCTAATCGCTTCATTTATAAGATAATTTTTTTCCTGTTAGCTACCATATATTCATTTTCATGGGCGAAAATGAGTAGATTGAGAGACAGTGTGAAAGTCTTGGCAATGAAATTGACCGCCTCATTCCTAACAGCAGGACCTCCCTTTATTACATTTAATCCTTACCTGGCCTGCCCTCATGACGTTTTCAGTCATCAGGGGATTAATTCTTCCACAGGACATTGACCCTGGAACCTTCTGAGCACATCTGTGACCCATTTTCAGGAAGAGTCCACTGAGTCCATTAAGAAACCTAGGGCAGCTCTGAAAAGCCAGAAGCAAAGCCCTTAAATGCAAGCATTCCTCAGGCGAGGTGAGATCAACATCTAAGGAAAGCTACTGGTCTGGAATTTCTTGGGTTACAACCTATCACTTCGTTTCACCCCTGCTCTTAGTAATCTGTTTCTCCCCTCACAATCATCTCAGCTCGATAGCAACAGAGCGATAGCCAATCCACGACAGCGCGGGCTGTCTGAACTATCCAATCAGGTGGGCCGAAGGAGGAGGGTACTTCCTGTGTCATGGCGCCGCAGTGAGCAAGTTGCGGAAAACTCCAGCTGACTACACCGCCCTGTTCTGTAATTTCTATTGGTTGCGAGCTGCATTCAGAGGATTCTGGAGACCCTCAAGCCACGCAATGGTGACGTTATGGGACGGGAGATGGAGATGGGATGGAACAGGGTGCCTTCCGAATGGAAGTGGTCAGAAACAGCTGTTGCCATCTATGTACAGCCTCCCTGCTTAACTTCAGACGCGAGGTCTTCCTAGTCTTGGGTGCTGCATCATCTGTAACATTTTCCCCTTTGCTCGGGGAGACAGTTCTGGGTCTCCAGCGTACAGACACTGTATTGTGAGAGTGTGTGACGCTGCTTTTTTGGCGGGGGGTGAGGGGTTGAGACAGGGTCTGTCTATGTAGTTCAGGCTGGGCCTGAACTCACTATGGAGCCCAGTCTGGCCTTGAACTCCCAGTAATCTTCCTGCCTCAGCTTCCCAACTTCTGGTTTTACAGGTGTGCGCCACTACACCCTGCTACACCCCCCACAATACCTTCTTGGTGGTTCCCAGGCACAGCTGTGTATCTCCACCGGTCAGTAGAGAGCAGTTTTGTTGTTTAGGAGAAATTCCTGACAGTCTGTTTGTTAAAGACACCCTGAGAAATGCTTTGAAGTGGGGAATCTACCGGGAGGAATACACGTGATATTGGTATGATTGGAAAGGGAAAGGGGAATGGTCTCTGAAATAATTGCCTCATAGTTATGGACTCTTTCTAGACATTGTTTTAAAAGTTGAAATAGCAAATGAGATGTTTACATAAAAGAAGTACTTGGGTCGCCAAGGCAGGAGGATCTTAGGAGTTTGAGGTCTGCCTGAACTGAGTAAATCCTCTTTTTAAAAATTTTTTTATTTATTTATTTTTTGTGCCGGCAATCAGAACTCAGGACCTTGCACTTGCCAGGCAGGTGCTTGTGCTGCTGAGCTGTATCCCCAGACCATGAACTGCATAGTGAAACCTTGTCTCTGTGTTTGATTAACTCATTGTTAGTTCTCTATTCACAGATTCAGTGGGCAAACTCAATATTGTAACCCACTGGATTGCTTCAAACAAAATTGCTTTTAAAATTTTACCTTATAAACATTTCTTATTCCTTCTGTATGTCAATTATATGCTATCTGGAACCTCCACGGGTTACCCAGCCTCTGAGCGTATTATTAGCATACAAAACACAATTTTCACTTGCGAGAATTCAGGCATCTTAGAAATTCTTAGGCCACAGTCTCTAAACTGTGGCCAAATAATTTAATATTGTATGTATATTTGCCTAGTTTCTGTAGCTTGACAGATCATGAAGAAAAGTCACAATTAATTTACTAGTATCCACCTAAATGGTCATTATGTACCCTGTAACACAGCTTCATATGGGTATCTTTAAGTGAAAGAAGTGATCACATCTGAGGAACATTTAATATTAGGGCAGTTAGAGGAAATTCTAAAATGCTATGTAATTTTGAAAGATGTTACTACATGGGTCAAATTAGTGTAGGAAAGTCAGCAAATAATTTTCAGAAAGTTAAACAAAACATGCAAATTTTTGGGCACAGCATCTTCTGACAAGATTCAACTAGAATACTGAGGGAATCAGCAGTGCATAGGAAAGAATGGGTAATTCACACTTGATTAATTGATCTGTACATTTTGTCATATGAAAAGTTTTCTGGCTTTTGTTTGCTTTTTTTAAAATTTCATTATCAGGGCTGAATCCAGGGCTTCATGCACGGTAGGCAAGTACTGTACTACTGTGCTGAAATCCCCAGTTATGCTTTCTGATAATGAATAATATCTCACAATATGTTCTACTTCATGTGTAAACTCAGAAGCAATGCAGTTTCACTTCTTCCTTAAAGATGTGCATTGAGAATCTTTGTCTCATTCAACTTATGAATGTTGGTTTGAAACAGGTGAACAACATGGGCATAGCAATAGGAAATTAAAGCAAATGCTTCCATCACTTTAAGAAGAGACCCTTGTTGAAATCCAAAGATATAGCAAAGTAATACCTCTCGTTGTATCTTGGGATGGACATAATGCTTGTTTTTGCCTGTAACAAAATGCACTGTGATGGGAGAAAGGAATCACAAGTGAAGATTGATTGGAGTTTTTGCATTCACCCAGATATGTGCTTTACTAATACCCTTGGCATCTCTCAAGCCAGTCAGGCTGATCATCAAGATGACCTGTTACAGGTCTCAATGGTAAAACATGCATTTTCTGAAATTAATGAGTGGAGGACAGGCTTTCAAACTGTGAGATGGAGTTTTCTATAGAGAGTTTGCTATGTTAAATACTTGGGTGACCCTGTCTCATCATAAGGAAGTCACTGAGGGTGCTGCTGCTTTTCAACAATCATTCTGGTACTCCTGGTGAGGAATGCCATTGGTATTCAGAATTCAGTTTTTTTTTGTGAGTTGAGTCAAGTAGATTGCCTGTCTGACACAATAGTAATGTTTCCTTTTCTTTCATCTTGATTCATTTTGGGTAATACTGTTAATGTAGTATGCCATTTTCTTCATTTATTAGATATTATATTTTCTTTTTAGCATTTTTTGTATTTTTTCTAAAATTAAGTAGAAAAATTTAAAAATAAAAAATAAAATGAATAAAATTAAGTAGATTAAGAGGTAAGGTGTGGGAAAAGCTAAACAGTGATGCCAGGTGCCTCATTTATATGTCTATCCTCTGACAACTTGAAACCTTTCCTTCTATTCTCTTTCAACTACCTTTGCCTGCAGTCTAGTTCTTCTTTGGGGATGGAGATTTTCTCCATGTGATGTAGCATCTAGAAGTGCAGGACTATACATGTGGATTCATTTTCAGGGACAACACTCAGGAAGAGTCTGTTGAGTTCAGTATAAGAAAACAGTGTCCACTCTGGACGTCTAGGAGAGAATTTAGCTTCAGGGTATTAAACTTCATTCTTAGTGAAATCCATATTTAGGCAGGAAACCTGTGTTGGGAAGGGTTTTTGGTTATAGTTTATCATTTGTGTTACTCTCAAACAGGTAGTGTATATTCCATAATCTATATTCTTTTTAGCTGAGAGGTCATGAAATGAGCAGAAGTGCACCAGAGAAGAAAGACTGGTTCTAGGCAAACTTTCCAATCAGGCACACTGTCCAGAATAAGGAATCTTCCTCCCTCAGGAACACAAGTTAGAAGCTCCTAATGTGTTACTGAAAGACACACTAGGTGACTTACACTGAATGGCTCTGTGAGATTTGCTAAATGCAGGTTAGATGGAAGGACCTTGAGAGACCCCTAAAACTGCAAATGCTGGGCTGGGGATGTAGCTCAGCAGCACAGCGCCTGCCTGGCAAGCATGAGGTCATGAGTTTGATTCTCAGTACCGGAAAAACAAACAAACAAACAAGCAAAAAAAAACCTGGAAATGCTGATGTGCAGGAACCAGTGACCTGAGACAGGAGTGGGCCAGTGGTGGAGGCATAAAGTCAGTTGGATGTAGAGAGAACCAGTTCGGCAGAACCTAGACCTATCTGCATCAACTGTGAAACCTTATTCCTGTAGTCAACTGCTACTTTTATGCCCTTGTTAACTTCTGAGTCTTTGGTTGAGGCAGAGGAACTGCCAGGCCGTCAGCATCCTGTGCTGTGCAAACAAGATGACTTAAGCATGTCAAAAGCACTGCCATGGGCAGCTCAGCATCTGCTGGATTACTTCTCATCATAATGAGCACTGACAGCTGGACAGTTTTGGTGGATCTGCAGGTTCATGTGTGATGTTTGTGTTTGAATGGCACTTTGCTGTCTTGTGTCCCCTGTCCCTTCTTCCAACAGAAGACCTTGTGTTATGGTTTATATCTAAAACATCCCCTACATACCTATTTTGTTTGGAACTTCATTGGATTCTGTGGACTTCACAGTTCTTGGTTGATTCGTCCATTGATAAGTTCACAAGTGCTTGTGCTATAAGGCAGTAGAGCCTCGTTGGAAGAAGTTCATTGGGACATGTGGAGGGAAAGTGTATTCTTTGCAGCTCTTACCATTTTTTGGTGCTTCTTGCTGCGGTGAGCTGAGCATATTTTTCCACCATGATGCTCCTCAAGTACCCTGTGTTGTCAAGTATTTTGTCCCAGTGACAGGAAGGTAACTAGGACACCTGGCAATGATGAATTGGACAAAAGTTTAGGATACAGAGCCTCGCACAAGAATGAGCTGGACACTGGCTCTAGGTGAAAGTATGTTAGAGAATATAAGCCTAATGCAGACTGAAATTTAGAAGAAATTTACATTAATAAATGTTATGATACCTCTAAGTTTACCTGATCATTCTTGAGGCAAAACTGCAGAGCCCAATATTTTGTCCTTATTTTGGGTTAAAATTTGGTGAAACTGGCCAGGCATGGTGGCTTAAGCCTATAATGCCAGGACTTGGAGGCTGAGGCAGGAGAATCCTTGCAAGTTCAAGACCAGCCTGGGCTACAAAGTGAGCTCAAGGACAGCCTGAACTGCATAGAGAGACCCTGTCTCAAAAAGACCAAAAAAAAAAAAAAAAAAAAATGGTGAAACAATTATGAAAGTGTAATGGTAAGGGTACTTTTTCAGCATACAGCATTTGCACTGTGTGTGTGTTTGTGTAAAACTGTTCATTGAACACAGCTCTGCTCTATGGTATATGTACCCATTTATGTAATTGTTACTACATTTTTAATTTGGGAACTGTGTCTTACTATTTGGTTAGACTAAGTTTTAGCATAGAACTCGTGATTTTAATTCAGTCTCCCAGTCTTTTGTTATTACAAATATGGGTTGTGAGCCCAGCTAGCATGGATTTTTTTTTATGTAAAAAAAGTAAAACAAGATTTCATAACAAAATGTTAGGAGAATAACAAGTTAATACATTGAGTATTGTTATCTTTAAAGTAGATAATCAGAATAAATAATATGGGCATAAAAATTCTCTAAATGATACTAGCACAAACATTTGTTTTCAATAAACTGAGGGAACAATTAGTATAACTATTTTGCATTTTGTTTTCTTTTTTCCTTTTCTCTTCCTTTCTTTCCCCTTTTCCCATCCTAGTTCCTTTTTCCTTTTGAAAAATTTATTTCCATTTCACAATATCT